TCTATCCCAGACAGGTAGCTGCTTTTGACAGGTTTAAGATGCCAGAAGACAATCATCACCACGCACCAATAATTGGAAACCATAAACTACAAAAACTGTGATAATAATATGCGCGTCTCTATGTATATATACGCGCACACATTCTCGAAAGATCCTATAGTTACATATCAAGTGTAGAAATGTTATACACAAGTAGCATCCCTGTATTTCCTTCTGAGGCACCTCACTTTATAATCCAGAATAGTAAGCTAACAATACAAAGTCATCAATAAACACAGCAAAGAACTATCAACGTGGAGGTTCGATTATCTTTAGTATGACCACGGCCCTGGCTTCTGTTATCTGCTTACCGCATCTAAGAACATGGTCATTCAAAGTCTCAATACTCTCGGCAAAATGTTCCATCTGCTTCTTGATCTCATCGACTGCAAGCTGCACAGCGTCCTCATCCTTGAGGGCAAAATCAGCATTGTGCAACAATGACTCAATCTTTATTTCCAATCTGTTGACCAGGGATCGAATGCTATCCAAGTCCTGTAATGTGATATAGGTACGAAACTCCATTGAGCTGAGTACTCCTCTTTGGCTTCTCACGGCTTTCTCAAATCCCTGAAATAGTGAATTACACCATTTTCCTACTGAGCCTATTGGAACAGCCAATGCACCAGCCAAAGCTGTTACAATAGGTGGTGCAGCAATGGCAACAGCCACCACCGAGAAAATCAACACAGAAACGGATGCAGTTAAAAAAATGGCATTTGACACCCTCCTCCATGTCTTGAGGGATTTCAGTTTCTTATCAAGTGTCCTCTTTCTGGCTTGCAGTTTCTCCAACATTGATACCTGCTTAGCATAAACCGACTCAAACAATAAGTAAAACTCTTTCGTGAAGGGGTCTCCAGCGTCGGTAAATTTCTTCAGTTGCTGCAATGTCTCTACATATCTCACCCCCCTTCCACTCCATTTTCGACCTCTACCTCAAAATGGTTGAGCGCTGACTTAATTATTACCTGGTTATCACGTGCCTGGCTCAAGCACTCACGAAGTTTAATACAGAAATCCAATGTCAAGAGGCTATTTTCAAAAAATTCGTCAACCAAGGAGGAGAGGTCTTTGTTCTTTAATATATCATTCTTGCATGCCAGAAAGATTCTGGCTACTTCTTCGTGATTTTCTAACAGAGCAGCAGTCGCTTCTCTCAGAGAATCAATAGATAACGAGCGAACCTGACCCCATTGGCAAGCGAGTTGATCACCCTGTTAGTTCGCTCTTGAATGGAGGCGTCGAAGGATTGTAAGTTCGGGTCGGCCACACATGCAGTTTCGTACGAGTTCAAGTCAGCCGCGAACTGGGAATCGGTACCCGTTCTGATAGCCAAAGGCACATCAGCCTCACTCGTCTTGCTGGACTGCCCTCCCATCATAACGAATTTTGGCGCGAATAGGGAGCTGCGAAGCACAAAATATAACACTCAACTTCTAAGGCAGAACGAAATGCGTAAAATTAAAATTCGGATTCACTTCCTCCTCTCTCTTTCTCTCTCCCTCAAATTAACTAGTAATAGACTCGAATGTCAGCAAATGCCCCAAAAATGTGAACTTTTCAAGGACGGAGAGACTCGGATGTGCGAGAAGCTTGAGAAATAAGAAGGATAGACGATTTAACTTTGGCTAGATCTAAGGAACAGATCGGAAGGTAATCTTAATTGAAAGGTACAAGTGAAATCGCTATATTGTTTAAAATACCTGGAATTAAGAGGCAATTTCACTCCGCGAATTGAAGCAAAGCAGGGGTAACGAGGCCAAGTAGCTGCTAAGGTGGAATCCGAGATGAACAGAAGTCCCCAGTTACGGAGAAATCTTGATAAGCTGGGACTTGGTGCTTAAAGAGAAGCAACTTATTTGGAAGCCAGTCTAAGGATGGGAGTCAGCGCGTCAAGCGTCAAGCGTCAAGCGTCAAGCGTCCGCGTCCGTGCTCGGCGACCTTAGTTTTTTTTTTTTTAGTGCCCAAAACGCTGGCTTTTTTAGTGCCGAGCAGCGTGCGACCTTAGTTTTTTTTTTTTTGCTTTTACCCCTGCTTTTTTTTTTTTACCTTCTTTATTTAAAAAAATGCATTAAAATTATTTTTGGTTTAACTTTTAGGGAGAATGACAAAAAAAACCTTGGGATTTTGTAAATACCAAATAAAAATATTAACAAAAAATCTGTTATAATTTGCAAATTCAAACTTGTCAATATCAAATAAAATTCTGTTACCAAATCTAATTTGGGATTTATATTTGTAATTTCTTTTTCTGTCATTCTCCCTAATTTTTATCTAATACCCTAAAATATTTTTTTACATATATTTATTATCCTGAGATATTATATTTCATCTAGCAGGCTGAAATATTTTTTTAGATATGTCACACATCTTAAAGTGTTTTTTGATACAATTATCCATCATCTCAAATTATTTTTCAGGCAAGTTCAGCATTCTAGAAATAATTTTGTTTATTATCCATCATCTTGAAATACTTGTCAAATGTATTTGATATCTAAAAATATTTTGTGATTCATCCAACACTTTAAATTATTTTTTTAGATACATCCACTATTTTTATTGAATCACGTAAAAAATATTTTAGAGTATTAGATGAAACTTAGTCCAAAAATAATTTCAATATATAGTAGTACTATCTCCGTTTCTTAATATAAGAGCTAGTTAACTAATGTGAGTATATTAAAAAAACTTTTAATTAGTTATTTGTAATAAGTAGATATCATCTTTTCTAAGATATCCCTGCTAATCAAGTGTATTAGTTAAAACTACTATTATTATAATAACTACCTTAAAAAATAAATAAATATGAAAGATAAAGTGAATTAGAATCTTATATTTAAAATTAAATAAGTCAAATAAATTTTTATATTAAAAATTAAAAGTAGTATTTTTTTTTTCTTCTGATCAACAGGAAGGGAAAAAAGCGAAAAGAAAAAAGAAAGAAAAAGCCCCACACTGCTCCGCACTCAAAACGCTGAGCACGCCGTGGGACGCGTCAAAGAGGGGCTATGATAAAATTTTCCCCAATCAGAAAGTTGAGAACAGGGCTTCAGCGGGGCACCGGGACGGCAACCCGGGAAAGTTCGAGGGAAGAAGGATCCTCTCTCCGACTGGCCGATTGCTCCCAACGTCAAAGTTGGACCCATTGTCTCTTCTTCTTTTGTTTTTGGGACCTGAGACCCATTGTCTGCGTCATGAAATTAGAGCAGCGATCGACCACCCATAAGATTAATAAAAAACTATTGAAATGGGACGGAGTAACATGTTTTCTTTTCTTGAAATTAAACAAAACGCATGAAGAGGTCCGTCCGCAAAGAATACACCCATTTTAATACCATACTTTAATGACTAGCCAGTGGCCAAATAAATCAAAGAGGGGTAAAATGTTCTTATCAAACTCCCATTGTTTTTGGGAGACTTTACGTTAAGCAGGTCAAAGGTGTTTTTTTTTTTTTTTAAATGTAAACACACTTTTATGTCTTACTTCAAATATTGTGATCCTGTGCTAAAATTTTATTCATCTCACAGTAACTACCTCTTCAATTTTCTTTTCATTTTCATTAAAGAAAATAATTAGAGTTAAATTCAAAGCCTTCTTAGATGGTTTTCAGACGAAATTGAAAAAAAATCGTATGAGTAATTTCTTGTTAAATGAGATTAGACAATCCTATATAGATGTGTAATACTACTCCCTTTATATGGCCGTGCAAGTTTATCCAATTTCAAATAACAAATAATCTTTCGCATTAAACACTTTTTTAACATATTTTCTCAAACCCAGATTATTTGCCAATCCGCCCCCAATTCATGCTCCATTGTTATCACCTCTCTCGCCATCTGGGCAGTGCGAGACCGAAAGAGTGTGAAGAAATGAAGAATAATCTAGAAGCTGAAAAATATTCTTTTTCTGATTTTAAATATAAAAGTTAGATTAACATTTATGAAAAATAGGTGTTGATTTTCTAAGACAAATCTTTATCATTTGCATTAAAAACTGGTCTTATTCATAAACTTTCACATTAACTTTCATTTAATATGTGTGACCAGCAGATGCTTTGGGAAGCAAAATATAATTTCGGGAGATGTTGGATTGAGTAACAGTGTGTGTGTGTGTGTGTGTGTGTGTGTATATATATATATATCAAATGACGAGGTACATCCTAGATCCAAGATAATACGATATTTTATGTTCATTGTCTGTAAGTGCTGTTTGGGCAATATATTAAGGGAAAAGTGTGTTCATAAACACCATTTTTATGGACCCACATCGAATCCTAACATCAGTAGCTAGCGCAAAAATTTCCTCGAGGCATCCACAATCCCCTGAGAGTTCTTTTTTTCTAATGTTACTTTTGAGAAGAAAGAATTATTTTTCACAATAATATAGCTCAACCATTAGGCTTCCCGCTTTGGGACGGACAGGTAGAAGGCCCTAAGAGGCCGAAGCAGAACATCCTCCAGCAGACGAAAACCAGGGTCTCCTTCAATAATCGGTTGCTAGCCATTGCCATCACTTAGCTAATCCGGATGCACATAACCATTATCCAAGCAACTGAGAAAATAAAACAAAATTCCAATCCCCAAATCAAAACCAACAAAACATGATTAATCAAATAATCTGTAGCAACTTGATCACAAAATGACTGCCAAACATATTCCCAAAACCACGAAGGATTCAAAGTGAGAGTTCAGCATGTGAGGACCAGATGGTAACCAGAATCTTTTTCAGCAGAATAAATGAGAACCCCCTAGAGATTCCTTGTGATGTTTTCAATACTTTTCATAGGCAGCCTCAACTTTCTCTGGGAGGGAGAGGCTATGGCCAGAGGGTCGAAACCTATAGTAAGTTTGAGTCTATCTGCCCACACAGGGAATTGAATACTTTTGACGGGTTTAAGCTGCTAAAATAACCGGAAACTCTTAAAAGTACAAAAATTGTGATAATCAGTGTGCATAAATATGTATGTATATAAATATATATATCTTTAAGAGATCCATACACATCAAGCACAGAAATGTTATACACAAGTACCATCCCTGTATTTCTTTTGACGCACCCCAATGAATAATCCAGGTGTTTAATCAGCAAGTCTTAAATGGTCCAGAATAGTAAGCTAAAAATTAAAAGCCATCACTAGACACAGCAAAGAACTATCAACGTGGAGGTTTGATTATCTTATGTATAATCACTGTCCTAGCTTTCCTTATCTCCCGACTACATCTATCAGCATGCTCATTCAAAGTCTCAATACTCTCGGAAAAATGTTCCATCTGCTTCTTGATCTCATCGAGTGCAAGCTCCATAGCATCCTCATCCTTGAGAGCAAAATCAGCATTATGCAACATTGACCCAATCTTTATTTCCAATTTGTTGACCAGGGATCGAATGCTATCCAAGTCCTGTAATGTGATATAGGTACGAAACTCCATTGAGCTAAGCACTTCCCTTTGGCTTTCACGGCTTTCTCATATCCCTGAAATAGTGAATTACACCATTTTCCTACTGAGCCTATTGGAACAGTCAATGCGCCAGCTAAAGCCGCTACTATAGGTGGTGCAACAACAACAGCTGCCACCACCGAGAAAATCAACACAGAAACAAATGCGGTCAAAAAAATGGCATTTGCCACCCTCCTCCATGCCTTGAGGGATTTCAGTTTCTTATCAAGCTTCCTCTTTCTGGCTTGCAGTTTCTCCAACATTGATACCTGCTTAGCATAAACCGACTCAAACAACAAGTAAAACTCTTGCGTGAAGGGGTCTCCAGCGTCGGTAAATTTCTTCAGTTGCTGCAACGTTTCTACATACCTCGCCCCTTCCACTCCATTTTCGCCCTCTACCGCAAAATGGTTGAGCGCTGACTTAATTATTACCTGGTTATCACGTGCCCGTCTCAAGCACTGATGAAGTTCATTACAGAAATCCAATGTCAAGAGGCTATTTTCAAAAAACTCGTCAACCAAGGAGGATAGGTCTTCGTTCTTCATTATATCGTTCTTGCATGCCAGAAAGATTCTGACCACTTCCTCGTGATTTTCTAGCAGAGTATCAGTCACTTCTCTCAGAGAATCAAGAGATAAGGAGCGAACCTGAACCCCATTGGCAAGTGAGTTGATCACCCTGTTAGTTCGCTCTTGAATGGAGGCGTCGAAGGATTGTAAGTTCGGGTCGGCCACACATGCAGTTTCGTACGACTTCAAGTCAGCTGCGAACTGGGAATTGGTACCCAATCTGACAGCCAAAGGCACATCAGCCTTACTCGTCTTGCTGGACTGCCCTCCCATCATAACGAATTTTGGTGCGAATAGGGAGCTGCGAAGCACAAAAAGATAACACCAAACTTCTAAGGTAGAACGGGACGCGTAATAAGTAAAATTCGGATTCAATTTCTCCTCTCTTTTCCTCAAATTAACTAAGAATAGACTCGAATTTCAGCAAATGCCCCCAAAAATATAATCTTTTCAAGGATGGGGCAACTCGGATCTGTGAGAAGCTGGAGAAATGAAAAGGACAGACGATTTAACTTTGGCTAGATCTAGGGAACCGATCCGAAGGTGATGTAAACTGAAACAGCCAAAATGAAAAGGTACAGGTGAAATCGCTATAAGGTTTAAAATACCTGGAATTAAGATGAGATTTCACAGCCGCGAATCGAACAGCGGTAGCGAGGCCAAGTAGCCACTTCGGTGGGAATCCGAGATGAAAGAAAATCCCCAATTACGGAGAAATCAAGATAATCGGGGACTTGATGCTTAAATCGAAGCAGCTGATTGGGAAGCCAATGCTAAGGAAGAGAGTCAAAGAGGGGGTAGTATAAAATCCCGATTGAGAATTGGTATTAAAGTGGAGAGTGGGGACAGCAAACTGGGAAAGTTCGAGGGAGGAAGAAGTTGGCCTGACAAGCAAGGGGGAAGGAAAAAACTAGGAGACAATGTTTAGTCGTTGACTGGCGGCTAAGCGCTCCCCGCGTCAGCTTTTCTTTCTTTGTTTTTTACTTTTTTTTTCCCACTCTTCTCTGATTAACTCCATGGTCAAAGTTGGGCTCATTGTCCTTGCCATACTGATTTTTTTTTTTTACCAGGTCCTTGCCATACTGGTAGAATTAGAAAGCATGCGATATACTACCTCCGGTCCTAATTATAAGACCTAATTGATTTATTTGAGGGATTAAAAATGTAAATTAAGTTAGTTATTTGTAATAAATAAGTGTTGTCATTCCTAAAATATCTTTACTAATTAAGTGTATTGGCTAGAACTATCATTATTAGAAGGACTATCTTGAAAAAAATGCATAAATATAAGAGACAAAATATATTGAGGTCTTATAATTAGGACCAAATAAAAAATCAAATAAGATTTTATATTAAGAACCGGAGGTAGTATAATAAAAAGGTTGTGACATCACCCCGTAACACTAATAACAAAATATGATACTGATTCAGTCTTACACCTGTGATGCCAGCCATGGGTTAAATTAAGACAATTGAAAGTTCTTCGAAATTGCTAACTCTATCCATTTCAACAAAATTTTTCATCACCTTCTTTCTTAAGATTTTTCGGAGACTAACACCCATGTTGCTGTGGTCCTCCAAACTCAAAAGTCAAAGGCGACTCGGCCTTGGGCTTTTACTTTTGTTAAACGCAAGAAAAACGACAGAAAAGAATTTAGAGGACATTCTTCAGTATATTATGATTACTATTTAATAACATCTATTTATCAATTTAAAACTAGAACTTTGAAAAATTAATGTTTTTCCTTTCATCGTTTAAATTTTGTGCACAAAACATATTCAACCATGATTTTTTTTAAAAATTTTAATCATATACTCATCCTTTCTCACTCTTGTTTTCGCCCTCGTTTCATCTTTATTTTTGAATTAAAAATTGAATAATGGTGATTTAATATCTTTATAAATATTATAAAACTGTATAAAAATAAATAAATTTTTTAATTAAAAAACTATTGGCTAAATAAACATATGAAAAAATAATATTTTTGAAATACTCTTTCAATCCTAAATATAAATTATTTTATAGTATAATTTATATTATAAAATAAATTTTATATTTAGGATCAGAGAAGTATTAAATTTTAATGGTTGATTTTAACAGTAGGAATAAAGTAAAAAAAAAAACAAAGAAATGGAAGAGTATCAAATCCACACCTTAGAATTTTCCAGAAGTCTAAATTCTAAGTATCTTCAGTTTTTCACTCATAAAAGAACATTTCCTAACCATAGCAATTTGTGCATAGATTGGGAGGTGTTTGGATAAAACCAAACCATAGTTTGGAAAATAACTTTGAAAAATAAATTCTTGGAAGATAGATTTTGTCAAAAAGTAATTATAATAAAGTGAGAGTGTTTGAATAGCTATCATCAAAAGCACTTTTTACACGTGCTAATTACTAAAAAAGTATAAATTAATATGATAATCACATAAAAGACGATTTAATAATATATTTTAATTTGAATGAATAAAATTGTTAATAATATATTTTTTACCAACATAATTAATGACATATAAGATAATATAATTAATAATTAATTAATATTTGTATATATATTTATAAAATATAAGATTAAATATGTTTATAAAAAAAAATTAAGGGGTATTAAAGTCATATTACGTTGAAATCTGCTCTGACAGGTATAATCATACTCTTTAATTTAAGCTAAAAGCAGAATGAATTTACTTTTTTGAAACCATAATTTATCAATCCTACCCCCTGTTTGGTAATTTTTTTTTATCTAAACTATGGTTTGGGATGTTACCCAGAGTCCCAAATAGGCTCCAAGGCAGCGCAAAATCGTTCGTGATTTGGTTGGCTGACGAAGAGTTTAAAGTCAACAATTAATTACTGCGTTCGCAAACATGCGCCCATGTCGTTGTAGTATAGTGGTGAGTATTCCCGCCTGTCACGCGGGCGACCCGGGTTCGATCCCCGGCAACGGCGCTGTCTTTTTGCACTTCATCGTGTTGCGGCAATCTGCAAATTCTGGGGCATTCTCTCGCATTAGAATCGAAGAGGCAGAGATTGGGGCTTCTTCCGTTTGATTACGCTTCCCCCTTTTCCTTTTCTTCGCATATTAAATTGTTTCGCACTCTATTCCCACTTGTCGGTTCTTCTGCGTCTATTTCTTTATGCAATCCGGTTCCATCCTTCGATTTCATGCTCAAGGCCTGGGGGACTGGAATTCGTAGCGCTATTTCTTCTTTTATGTTGCTTCCTTGTCAAAACCACGTGTCATCCTGTGCGTGTCACCTCATCAAACGCAGATTCAGTAATTTGTCGTCATGTTATTGTGTTGTTCATTGAACAAGGGATCGTATCCCATTCTTGAATCTTCTCTTTCTAAAGATGATCTGATTAAAGAAAGCTGAATGTATTGCGTAACGAGAGTAATGATAAAGAATATATCTAAAACTATTGACAGCAAAATTCTGTATCCTGTTTAGTACCCTGGAATGGTGTTTCCTACTGTCAAGGCTTTCCGATCGATCAACTGGTTCATGCTAGAGAAGGGTGAAGTCAAGTGCATAAAGAAGCTTGCTTCAATTAGTTGTTAAGTTGAAGGACAGTTATTGGCCAGTATACAGCAGGCAGTGTGCTTACCCTGCCTATCTCCTGGAATGATAATCTCTGATTCCCTTGATTTGCATTTTCAGATGCTCTTTTTAACTCCAGATAACTCCATGTATTTTATAAAGTGTATGTTGAGATAAGAATTGATTAGTTTTTTCCAGTGTAGGACTACGATTATACTGTTTAAGAGAATGCAGAAAGCGATGGAAAAGGAGACAGCGCTACAAGAGAATGCAAGTGAGAACACCTGTTGAGAAGCAATCTGCTGGCCTGGACAGCTGCGTCTCCACAAAGGTTTTCCTCCCGTCTAGTTATTAGTTCGAATTTTTATTTCGTATCTCTTGTTTTACGGGAAAATCATCCGGCACAAAACAAAAATTAGATAAATGAACATTATCATCGTATCTCTTAAATTTTATGTTGCACACGTATCTTCTTGTACTTCTGGAAGTTTCATAACTACGCTGCAGTAAAATCTAGGATTTACGTTGGTAAGCATTCTACGGAGATGCGGGAGCCTTCAAGGTTCTGTCAACATTCTACTTTTAATCTGGCGTTCACCCTCTCCACATTCTGCTCTATTCACCAAAGCTCTTCAAATATATGAACTTGAAACATGATATCATAAAATTCATTGTGATAGGTTATCCAATGAAATTGTTATTTGGATATCTTCACAATTCAGTATTCCACTATGTTTTTTCTGGGGAAGAAAGAAAAGAAAAAAACTTAGGGAACATAGTCATCCAGAATATTAATGGAACTTGACTAAAAAAACTTTAGCCCCTCAGAGTCTAATAATTTCTTTTGTTCGCATATGTTTTTCAAATTGCCAGGAGAAAAGCAGATCATTGAACAGGAGGAACAGGCCCTTGTTCACATGTTCAAATTCTGGGGGCAAAAACAGGTCATGAAAGAGAAGAAATAAAACAACACACCCCCCCCCCAAAAAAAAGATATTTTGATGCGCTAAGAATCCATTAAATGGGTCTTTGGGTAAATCTTGTGAGCCTCACTATAAAGGAGCCATTAAATTGTCATCAACAAAAATTTATGAATCACAACAAAATAAGACCAAGTGGAAGGAGGAAACACGGCTCACTAAAAGAAACAAACTCTTTCATGTCATCTCAGACTCTTTCGAAACGGTGAGCATTCTAACTTTCTCACGGTCTCGCTTAAAAATATAATATAATGGCGTGTAACACAAACAACACAATCCAAATGGAACGACCATCATGGAAAGAAGGCCTTTGGACAATGCAAGAGCCTCTGGAGCAGATCCTTTAGCAAAATCAACAGACTTAGAATCATACCCAAACATCTTCTCAGAAAGAATGCCTACCAAGGGAGCTGCCACTGAAGAAAATGATCCCTCAAAAGCACGATCAAACGCATAGATCATGGTCCTGTGTTTTACTGGGACCACTTCTGCGAACATTGGAGCATTTGCGGCTGTAGCATTCCAGCTTATACATAGACCCATTATCAAGAGAGTGATGGCAAAAATGGCAAAGCTGCTTACTGATTGAGGGATAACCTTCAGAAGAAACAACGAGAATGGAATACCCATAAAGGCACTGAATTGTGCACACATGATACGCCCAGAATGAGGATATACACGAGACAGCTTATCAGCTATTGATCCACCGATAAAAGATCCCACAGCACATCCAATAGCAAAGAGACTAAGGAGTGTTGCTGAGCTGTTATGATCAAATCCTACAATCAAGTAATCAAATACATCATTTTAGTTGGGTCACCTTTTCAACAATTGTGAAGCTTCCAAAAAGGATAAAGGTTTCATTTTGTAAGGTAAATCATTGGCTTTATAGTTCCAAAAAAGAAGCTATAGTTACACTCTTACAGCTTAAGATTCTGGTGCAGTAATAGGCACTTGATCCTAAAACATGTGACGAGGTTATTGTAATAAAGTTGCTTTTGTGCTCACCTATTAGTTCGAACCACATTGTGAAGAATACCATGGCAGTCCATGGCAGTGACCCCACAATACCCTGTAAAACAATGATTTGAAATGTTTGCACTTTCATGACAGCTTTCATC